AGCCGAAAGAAATTCAATTCGCGGTCAGAAAAATTTAAATAAAGTGCGTTTTTCAACTTTTTTCTTGGTTGTCCACCGGACAATGTCTCAGACTGGTTAGGTTGTCCGGCGCAAATTCTGGTTGTCTCGGACAACCGGACAATGCTTATTTCGAGCAATGGTTTCAGTTATAATATGGATAAATTTGCCCTAAAATAAATATCGTTGCAATGGTATATTTGCGGTATTTCTTGTGAACAAACATTCGATTTGCAAACTTCAAACAGCCATTTCTGGCGGCGCTGCAGCAGCACCAGTCAGCGGGAATATGTATTTCCGCACGTGGAGGGGTGGCGGGTTGGGGTGGTTGTGGACAAAAACATTGTTGTTGTTGCACCAAATTAAGCGATCAAAAGATATTGTAATATTAGTTTTGTCATGAAAGATGAACAAATTAGTAATAGTATTATTCATTTGTTACTTGACAACAGCAATGTTTTTGTCCACAACCAACACAACCCGCCCACCCCTCCACGTGCGGAAATACATAGCTCCCGCTGACTGGCTGGAGTAAGTTGGTCCCGACCATTCGTAATGCCTGATGCTTTAGCCCAGCGGCAACTGTACGCGGGCTATAGGCCTAGTAGTAGTACATGAGCTAACATCAACAGGCATTTTACTCTATAGCCTAGGGTATCATCTAATAACTGATTCGCCAATAATACTAATATAGATTTACCTTCTCAATCACAGATTATTCAACCTTAGGATGAAATCTGCTTAATGTGCTACAATAGGTTGTGGCTGTGAATAGTGTGATTAGTTAATAGTAACAGCAATGTTAGAATAGAAAATGCACATGTGAATAAATTCAAACGGAACATGCCATGACAGTCCGACACCGATAGCGGTGCCATCTGCCGTTGGCGTTGCCAACGCTATTGTAAACATGCATAAATTGGTGATAAAATCTTTCTTTTTTAATACAGTGAACTCTGAAACTTTTAGATAAAATAAACAAAAAACTACAAAACCAAGATTTACACTCTAACATAATGTAGTCTGGTGCTATTGCCTCTACACTGTCATCGTAGCAGCTGATCGTAGTGTCATCGTAGTGTATCCCTCTGACGTCACCATCTCGTGGTGGTGAACTTCCTACTCCTTTTGTGCTTGTGACTCGACAAGTTCTTTTTTGTCGAGTCATTGCCAACTGTGAAACTTGTCTGAACAGGTGTTTTCCTTTGTTGGTCTACTAGAAATTCAGGCTATTCACGTTATACACTATAAAGACTCGATGGTGAATGGAAAAGAGTTTGCTGTCGCGAAAATTAACGGGAAAAAGGTAGTTGTTTTCTCCAAAACCTTTTGCCCTTTCTGCCGGATGGCCAAAGCAATTCTGGATAAGTACCGGCTATCACAGGATGATTACGAGGTTATAGAAATAGAGAAAAGAAACGACGTAGCTGCAATCCAAGATTATATGCTGGAACTAACCGGCGCACGAACGGTGAGATATTTAGACTTAGTACTACTACTACTAGTACTAGTAGTAGCTCTAGAACTATATAGCCCTCCGCTTCGCCGCAGAGCAGAGGGCGAGGGCAGAGCAGAGCAGAGGGCGAGGGCAGAGCAGAGCAGAGCAGAGGGCAGAGCAGAGAGCCTGCGGCGGAGCAGAGGGCTATAGTTCTAGAGCTATACTACCAGTAGTTGTACTCATTTATTTAGTGTCTTTGTGCGGATCGAGGATCGTATGTAATAATGTATATACAATAGTCAATTCTACTTATTACTAGTACAGTGTAACGAGTGTTGGAGATCTGTCCAAATTTCATGATCGATCATCGGTTTTCAGGGCCGTAGGGGCCTACTGGCGCTCATAGGGTCTATGTCCTCCAGGGTACTGCCGGAACGTACCCTGGGTGCGGTCCGGTATACCGAAACGTACCCTGGTACTATCTAATATGGTTAGGGTTAGGGAGTAGGTGTAGGCGTACCCAGCAGCGCCTAGCGTGTGGCAGCGCTTCTTCGTACACAACATTGTTGGTGTTGCCATTTTGAGAGAGGATGGAGAGGTTGTCTGGGTTACCGACCCTGGAGCACCCCACATAGAGCTGGCCTTTTTTGCTGATGCAAGTAGCAGTATATCTGTATGTGACTCATGTAGTACATTAGTCTATGTGCCTGCCCAATGTATATATGTTATTGTACCCCCCGCGACGAAGTCGGCGTGGATATTATGGTTTCATGTCTGTCCAGCGGCCGCTGCCGCCGCAGACACTTTCCCTTCCGCTCTATAACTCGACCTCTAATTGACCTAGCGTGACCAAACATAGCTAGTCTACTTACACATCTTGGGGAGAAGGTGCGCAGCGTTCCAAAACCAGGTCACTACGACCTTTATTTGACCTTTACCTTGACCTTGATTATATTTCCCTTCCGCTCTATAACTCGGCCCCTAATGGACCTAGCGCGAGCAAACTTCGTATACTTGCACATCTTGGGGAGAAGGTGTGTCGTGTACCAAAACCCCTGAGGCAACCAATTTTAACATACTTGCACATCTCAGGCAGATGAGTTGTGTAACAAACCTTTGTCTTTGTGACTTATTTAACTTTACCTACCTTCTACGTCCTTACAGACATATTTCATTCATACTAGATCACGGGGGATACATGTAGTTGGCGACAACTGCCCTTTCTAGTTTATAATAGTTAGTACTGACAGCACAAGTTCAGCATTTTGCATTGACTTGAATGCAGTATTTATATATGTCGTCATAATGAGTACACGAATGACAGATCTGTTATTTATGTGCTTTTTTTGTCATGCTATATTCCCAGTTGATAGCTCCACCAACCTCTCTGTCCCAAGCATTGTACCAGTACCACAAGGTATAACAACCAAAGCAGTGAAAGCACTCTGCATCTAATATTGGGGTGTCTCCTGAATTCTACCACACTCCCGTAACTATTGTGCCCACTGACCATTCACCTAATTGCATACAATGTTCACCATTCAGAGCATATACCCACGACGGCACGCTGTGCTGTCAAATTTATTCTTCACCTCTTTTGTGCATGAAAATAGCAAGGATACTGGCTACCCAGTACTTTACAGGACATACCAGGTTGCAAGTGGCAGTGTGTACATATCTTTGGTTAATGGAGCGAAGTCAAACGATTCGGAATGGTAATTGTTAACAGTTCAACCGCAAATGATTGCCTGGGACTGAACATTATCGTGACTTCGTTCAGCTAAGCTATCTGTGTAGTCAGGTATAAAGGGAAGGCAATACAGTAAAAGGCTGAAGAACCAGTTAAAAACCAGTCTGCATTTAGTGGGGGTGGGAGTTCTATCATACAGGCCAACCCTGATTTTTTATTTTGATCAATTCTGTCATATTCGCGATGACATGGGTGTGAGTACATTGCGTAGGTGAAGGCTAAGATACTCTATCTGTGTGTCCAGTGACAAGAGTCTGTTTGGGCTTATTGACCTGTACATGTATATATCATCAGCATTTCCATCCGTTTGGGGGGTCTGACCATGGTACAGGACACGCGTTGGTCATAAGCTCAACCACATCTATACAGTTACATTAGCTCTACCTGTGTAGCCTCTTCGTTCCTGCTGCATGAAACTAAGGGGGTACACCAGTAGAGCTACAGTTATGTATGCCACTGGCAATTTCCAGTAGAAATGGCTGATAGTTTCCTGTTACTATTCCAGGAAAATTGGCTTGAATCCCATACGACCACATACCCAATGATTCCATTTTAGTGTAGTTTCAGGTACTATATTAAATTTAAATGCCATATACCAGTGGTCTTTGGGGTACCAGCCTTTTGGTGGTACCTTCCCCTTGGCGCCATAAACTCCTCCATATCGCCCATAACCTTACTCTTTATGTGCCATTACCCCTTACCTCATAGCACCCCATTGATAAGGCCACAATTAAAAAAATCTTTGTTTGCCCTCACCCGACCTAGGCTGAAAAGTTTGGGTAGGTAGGTAGGCTTTTTTGGAGGGGGGTCTTTTTACAAATTCAGCATGGTGTCTACATGCTCGGGTGTGCTTGTGTGGAGATACCTTTTATGTTGAATGTTTGTTTTGCTTGCTACATATAATATGTTGCCTACAGATTTATATAATGTACAATGATACAATTTGTTAAAAAAGAATGGAAAATGATCAATAACTTTTTTTTGAGTCGGCCCATTTTTGGCGAGTCGGTCGGGTGAGGGCAAACAAACAATATTTCTATTATGACCTAATCCCATACCCCACATAGGGTTGATACTTCCCAGTATGGTAACCACTGGCGTATGCGATAATAGCCCTGTCACACTAAAGCGTATAGCCTTAACGTATAGCCTTAACGTATAGCCTTAGGCACACGTAAGTCATAATAGGTCAACCAGGAATGTAAGTGCATTAGGTAGACCAGATAATATCATGTGAGAATAATATACTGGAGGAAGGCTCAAGGAAAACACCAAAGACATTGGTGGAATAACCCGTGGGGGTTGATACCTCTAACTGTAGCTGCGTTTTATAAAGTCTAATTGCAATTAAATTCGTGTCTGTTGCCTTTGTTATTAAAATTTAACTCTCACGCACGCACAGTGACAGACACACCCAAAATGACCTTTTATTACTTCCTTTTGTTTAACTACTGTTTCTCTATTTCTGAATCATTTTCAACAAGATTTCTTTATTATTCACGCAGGTCCCAAGAGTTTTTATTGGTGGCAAGTGCATCGGAGGAGGCCAAGAGACGACTGCATTGGAAGACTCTGGCCAGCTGAGGGAAATTCTGCAAGCTGCGGGTGCTATAGCTAACTGAAAAATGGACAAATGGAACATCACAACTTAGTGACCTCCCCCCCCCCAAAAAAAAAATATATAGCAAAAGAGTATTAAAATTGACAGGGACATGGAGATAGTTTGAGTTTATCGTTTTATCATGCATTTACATTGATATCAGGGGTTTATCTATATTGAGAGTCTATATCAGAGTCTATATTTATAGACTCCTGTTGATATATACCTAATAAATATGTGCTGGTTTTTAAAGGTTGACTCTATGCACAATGCACAATGCTATTATGCTTAAAGATGCACAATGCTATTATGCTTAAAGATGCACAATGCTATTATGCTTAAAGATGCACAATGCTATTTATGGTATTTTTCTCGATTGAGTTTTATTCTTGAGCTGCTTAAATATGTGATATTATTTTATCATGTTAGATATCTAGATATATCATGTTAGATATATTGCTATGCATGTTTGCTCTTTTAGTTGGTTTTATACTAATGTTTTTTTGATACTAGCTTTATTGACAATAGCTAGTACGTACCTATGTCGTTTAATATGATAGAGTAGGTGTGGTTTATGATAGTACTTATGCACTGGTTACTGATGACTGTAATTATGTACTTAGTCTGAACTGGGTAATTTTTTACCTGAATATTTATGGAGACTAATAATTACTGTTAAAAATATCAGGAGTACATAAGTAGAGACAGTAGCACATGTTTTTACTCCTGATAGAATGTATATCACATGGGTACTGAGTCGCCCGAATCTCTCCTCATAAAATGTGCCATAAAATGTAAGAAATTGCTTGTTAGTCTGCATTGGTTAATTTTTGTTCTCCTGAAAATGCATAAATGGTATGATGACTGTGATACATGGGATTAATAATATCACGAGTATATGAATAGAGAAATGAAACGTGTTTTTATTCACTGCTGTATGTAATCGTAAACATAACCACTTTCCCATACTGTGCAACAAAATCAAAGTCACATGTTCTACCTAGTACAATGTCCATACCACCAACAAGCCTTTAAGAGAAATAAATGGTAAATGTTTGTGGTACAAAATGTGGTTTTATTAGCTTTCATAATGCTGGGTTTACACTATCGATTTTTGTCAGCAAATCGTACCGATTTCAAGTGCAACACAATCACCGTCCAACACAATGGGCTGAAATTCGATTGTGTTGGTGTCGGAGTCGGAGACAAGTCGACGAGTTGGCGAAATAGAACGTGTTCTATTTTGCTCGACTCGGATTCGTGAAATCCGGCGAGTTTGGATAAATCTAATTGGCTTAAAAACTTTCACGTGATACCTACTTCCTCTAGCTACTTACTATAACGCACATACTTCCTCTTCCCTCCATTCTCCAACTTCCAAACTGCAGTGTTTCAGTACTGCAGTGGCTGGCAATCTACATACCGGGGTCACCCATCTGATCTTTAATAAATAACTATAAAAGTTAATTTATAGAGATCAGTGGGGGTCACCCTGGGACGGGCAAGACGGAGAAATTAATCGTAGCGATTTGCTGAGCAAAAATCGATAGTGTAAAACAACAGCTCAACACCAACTTCTATTTGGGTCAAGTCGGGGGCAAAGTTGGGTCGCTTGAAATCGGCACGATTTGCTGAACAAAAATCGATAGTGTAAACCCAGCTTAAGTTGTCTGTGACATTTAGTAAATGTGAAGTTTGAAAATATAAGACTACAAATAAACATTCTGCAAACGGGAGTTAATGTTATAGTATCATATATATTATATATATTAATGTTATTATATTATGTGTTATATTACCCTAATGTAAATTAACAGATTAACTCCTAAATATTATGTTGATGGCAGTGAGCAGACGCAGCGATATTTTCGACAATTATTCTAGACCTGAAATTTCACATAATATCGTCACGCGTTGTTACTGATGATTAACACGGTTACCTGCCTTAAAAGCTGGGTTTACACTACCGACTTTATGTTGGCGAGTTTGTACCAACTTCCCACTATACAACCGACAATCGGCAGTGTAAACGCAAACATTGCGCGACAAGGCGCGATCGATAGCCACTCGTTGGGCAGATTAGAAGATGTTCTATTTTCGCCAAATTCGAGTTGCGAACATTGGAAAGTATTTGCGGTACGCGATCTGCCCGTGCCTCTAAGCGTATGCTCGCGGCGGTTCGCCTGTCAAGGCAGTAACACAATTAATGATTTTTTGTGTCTCGTAAACTTTGAGAAAATGTTTTCCCCGAGGTCATTTCTCTTGAACTCCCGCAGCAGACGCCGGCGGTCCTCGGCTTTCTCAGTTGACTATCGCATTTTATAGATATTCAGTTATTGTGGCCATTAAAAAACGTGCAGGCCTGTATGACATCCTTACCGTAAAAAAAACAATTAAAGCATATGTAGGCAGCAACTGTACATGTACAGCTGTGATTGTATATTTGTAGGCAGTTCCCTTTGTACTTATATATTTGTGTGTCTGTCTGTGTGTGGTGTGTGTGTGTGTGTGTGTGGTGCGTGCGTGCGTGCGTGGCGTGCGTGCGTGCGTGCGTGCGTGCGTGCGGGTGTGTGCGTGCGCGTGTGCGTGAGCGTGTGTGTATACTTCGCTTATAGGTATACTCCACTGTAGGCTACCCATGTTCCTATATATTGTATCCATTGGAATGTTTAATGCTTAAAGACCGTACGAGTCTCTCTACGCGACTTGAACATTCGCAAACGTAAAGGAAAAGGTGAATGGGAACTCGTTTTACATGTTAGGCGACAAATGCCAAACCGAAAAATGGCGCGAAAACAAAAGCGAAAAATGCCAAGACCGTCAGAAGGCATCAATCAATGTGTGCGAGTGCGGAGTACGTTCGATTCAGCGAATTCAACGTTGAGTAAAATATCTTATTCTAATTTACTGATCATTTAGATAACGTCTTCTCGTATATAACTATAAAAGTACGACAAAGTACAGTCACTCGTATACACGTACAAAGATCTATAGATGTTATATATTATGAAGAGTCCGCATAATAGGAAATATTATGAATTTTATTTGAAAATGTGAAATATATTATTATTATTATTTGAATATATTAGGAATTTCTATTATGGACTCTTGATTTTTATTCAAGCCACTAATTCCATTCTTAAGTCACATAATCAATTAATCGGTTTCATTCACTCCAACGTCGATTATTAGCATGGCGTATGGCATCGCCTCGTTGCTAATGTAATACAGATAGTACGCAGGCGACAGATATCCACATAATAATTAGTAGAGCGCCCAAGCCATGTAGGGTACGAAACTACCTGACATTTATGCCATCTCGCGTCCCATTCCCCTTTGTCTCCCTGTCGCCGTCGCTTAGCCTAGCCTTCTTCTACGCTCCCCAGCTTATCTTTAATTGCCGCCTTTCTCAGTCTCCTAATCCCCGGCTCTTCCCTCAGCAAGCTATATTATGGAATATGTTTGCCTCAGACGGCACTGCACGCCTAAGCACGGTGCGTCGCGCATGCGCAATATCTCCGAAGAGAAATCGTATTATGCAAATTATAGCATTAAAAATGTAAGAGGAGTTATCCTAAGCATAGATTTATATATGATTAACATTCATCAGTAAAGGACATCATTTAATAAAATAGGAGGAAGACCTTGCATGTAAGGTCACCGCTCGTAATACGGCAAGCCAGTACACAATCTGGCTACGTTAGTGTGTTAGCCGCATGTCGAATATCATTCACCAGAGGGAGTTATATTTTGTGATGAATATGCATTCTAAAAATGGTTAAGGGGGTAACCTCAGGCATAGTTTTCCTGAATAAACTTTTATCAGTAGACCTGTGTTTGATAATTAGGAGAGCGCCCCAGCATGTAGGAAGTAACAAAAACACCTACTTTTGCCCATCAGCGTCACTTCCCACTTTGCCGTCCCTGTCCCCTCGCATCAGCTCGTACCTTTCTTCTTCTAACCGGCCCCGAGCTATCTTCGCCTTGCGCTCGTTATCCTCCATCCGCTTCGCCCTCACAACCAAGATTTTTGCCTCAGACAGCTATATATTCCTGACACGCCGTACCGGTGCGCGCGCATGAGCGCAATATCTCCCCGAGAGAAATCGTATTTGCAAAGATTATGCATTTAAAATAAAGAGGAGTTATCCTAAGGCATAGATTTGAATATAATAACATGTTCCATCAAGTAGACATATTTAATAAGTAGGAAGGAGACCTTGCAATGTATAAGGTCCCGCGCTGGCGTGATACCAGCCAGTACACAAATCTGGCTACGTAGTGTGTTACCCATGTGCAATATTCTCACCAGAGGAGTTATATTTTGTGATGAATATGCGAATTTAAAATGAGTTAGGGGTATCTCAGCATAGATTTCCCGCTATATAAACTTTTATCAGTAGGCCTGTGTTATAATTAGGAGAGCGCGCCTAAGCATGTAGGGGTACAAAACACACCTACTTTATGCCTTCGCAGTCCTTCCCCTTGCTTCCCCTGTCCCCTCGCTCAGCCTGCCTCTTTCTTCTAACCGCCCAGCTATCTCCGCTGTCCGTTTCTTTCTACAGTCTCACATTCCCCTCTTTCCCTCAGCAACTATATTATAGATAGTTTGCCTCAGACGAACTGAGCACCCTACACGGTGGCGCGCGATGCATGCGCAATACTCCCGAGAGAGAATCGTAATTATGCAAAGATTATCAAATGTAACAAATGAAAGAGGAGTTATCCTAGCCATAGATTTAGTATGATAACATCCATCAGTCAACATCAATTTAATAAAATAGGGGTAAGGAAGACCTTTGCCATGAAGGGTTACCCCTGCGTATATAGAGGCCGCAGTAGCCACCCAGGACAACAAATCTGTGCTAGAGCCAATCTGAATCGAATTAAGTGAATGTTAGCGGCAAGTGTGGCAATATCTCACGACCAGGAGGAGGTTTAATATTTGTGATGGAAATGATGCATTAAAATGGTTTTAAGGTGTATCTCAGCAATAGATATTCCCTAATAAACTATTTATCAAGTAGACCTGTGTTTATAAGTTAGGAGAGCGCTCGCGCAACAATGTAGGGTACAAAAAACACCATACGTATGCCCTAGCGTCATTCCCGCTTGCTCCCTGTCCTATCGGCTCAGCCTCCAATCTTCTACCGCCCCAGGCTATCTTTCCCTGCCGCTTTTTCGGCTCCTGTCTCCATCCCATTCTACTCTCCTCGCTCGCTCTCGCATCTCTCTCTTCGTCTCTCTCCTCTCTCTTTCTCTCTTCATCTCTCTCTCTGTCTTTCTCACTTCCCTCTCCCTTTCTTTCTCTCGCTTCCTCTCTCGCCCCTACTTTCTCTCTCTCTTCTCTCTCTCTCTCTCTCTCTCCCCTCGTCTCCTCTCTCTCTCTCGCTCCCCGCTTATCTCTCTCTCATGCTCCCCCTTCTCCTCTCCTCTCCTCCCCCCTTCTCTCTCTCCTCGCTCCCGCTTTTCTCTCTCTCTCGACTCACCGTAGTCCCTTCTTTCTCTCTCTCCACGCCCTCTCGCTCCCGCCGGCCCCTCCTATCTCTCTCTCTCCTCTCTCTCTCTTTCTTTCCTCGCCTCAGTCCCCAAGACCGCCGCCTCGTATGTCCGCGAAAAAACCTCATTAGGCGCCCGTAAACACTTCCTCTCTCTCTCTCCTCTCTCTCCTCGCTCCCCCTTCTCTCTTCATCTCTCGCTCTTTCTCCTCCCCGCCTTATCTCTTCGTCTCTCTCGGCTCCCCTTCTCTCTTCCTCTCTCTCTCGCTCTCGTCTTGCTCGCCCCTTCTGCTCTCTTTCTCTCTCTCTCTCTGATTCATCTCTCATCTCCTCCTCTCTCTCTCAGTCGCTCTCTTTCGCTCCCACCTTCTCTGTAGTTTCCCGTCAGCAAAGCATATATAATGTTTGCTCTCAGACGGCACCGCACGCTTAACAAGCGGTGCGCGCGGCATGCGCAATATCCTTGAGAGAAATCGTAAATTATGCAAAGATTATGCATTTAAGAATAAAAGAGGAGTTTATCCTAGCATAGATTTATATGATAACATTCCATCAGTACACATGA